CCTGTTATCCTGGCCTCTGCCTGATCATGTGACTTCCACCACGTGACTCTCTCTGGCTCCTAGTCACTACCTTGCTGCTTGAGGACAGTGGAGGAGTGGTGAATGAGGAGGCAGTGGTAAAGGGCACTTCAGGTCACTCCATCCGACCAGGCCTTGGCCACTGTCTAGCTGATGCTAGTAACTGACCAACCAGCTCAGGCAGAGGAACCCCTCTGATGATTGGACTGTCACAGACAGGTTACCCCATGTAGACCACTGAACTATTCCCCACACCTCGTCTGTACCATGCTAGGGGCGGGGTCTAGCCTCTGCCTATTCCCAGCCCCCAAATGCCCCGAGGGAGGCTGAGGCAGCCACCCCCAGATGTCTATTCCTGTCTTTGGCCTAGCGCCGGGCTGAGGAAGCAACAGCTATTTTGAGACCCTTCTCCCTCCGAGCGTGAGCGGTGGGAAGGTGCTGGGAACATCCCGAACTAGGAAGCTGTCCGTCACAGACTTGCCCCGGATGTTGGCCACCCCAGGGTTCTGCAGCTCTGCCTCTCTCTCCAGCTGAGGTGATGGACCCGCTATGAACACAGCCATCACGCTGGGATAACCAGAGAGGACAGATCCCGGGGAACTTTCGCTGGAGGCCCCGGAGCGCAGTGTGACTGGCACTAGCTCTTTGGAGCAAGAACGGGGAGTAGCCAGACCAGACCTGCAGGCCTCAGAGGCTGCGATGAGCTTACACTCAGGGAAGATGCGATGGTGAGCCAGGCGCGCCCTCTCAGGACTGACAGAAGCAGCCTGGTCATCTCCAAGAAGAAACTGAGATTCGGGGAAGGGACCAGAACCATGTGCTGGCTCATCTATAATTCCAGCATTTTTTTTTTAATTCTTTTTTTTGTGCCAAAACAGCTCCATCACCTCAGTGGACTCTGCTTCATTCCCTCAGCTGAGGTGAACATTAGTAACCATATACTTTGGGAGAGTGGGTGCAGGAACGTCTTTAAATTATGAAGCTAACCTATGCGTGCATGTGTCCAGTCGTCTGTTCAGACAGTTGTAACAAAACACTGACGTGTGGTTTAGACAATGAGCTTTTTTTTTTTCTTGTTCACAATCTGGTAAAGCCCACAGTTGGTGTCTGATTAGGGCCCGCTTCCTGGTTTATAGACAGCTGTCTTCTTGGAGAGTCCCCACATGGCAGGAAGGGTGAGAGAGATTTCTGGGGTCCCTCTCATAGGGACACTGTTTCCATTCATGATCATCCTAAGCTAATTATTTCCAAGCCACCTTCATCTTTTCTTTTTTTTTTTTTTTTTTAAAGATTTATTTATTTTATTGTGAGTACACTGTAGCTGTCTTCAGACACACCAGAAGAGGGCATCAGATCACATTACAGATGGTTGTGAGCCACCATGTGGTTGCTGGGAATTGAACTCAGGACCTCTGGAAGAGCAGTCAGTGCTCTTAACCGCTGAGCCGTCTCTCCAGCCCCCCAAGCCACCTTCAAACTGCCCCCTCTCCTCACATCATGGTGAGGTTAGGATTTTAACATGGGGGGGGGTACACAATCTTGCAGTGCCCAACATCAAGAGAAATTGGCACAGACGGCCACAGGAGAGCTGAGCATAACGGCTCTTTTTCTGTAACCCCAGGGAGAAGTGACGTGATCACTCCATGTCTGATGTGTTCCAGACCAGCTGGGCTTACGCCACGAATATTAAAACATGAGTTGTAGGCTAGCCTGAGCTACTCCCTGTGAGACCCTGTTTCCAGCTAAGGGGGAGTTGGGGATGCGGAGTTCTCGATTAGTGTACAGGACGACTGGGTTTAATCCCCAGCACCGAATAAAACAAAGTGCAGTGCCTTACACTGTGATTCCCCCCCACTCAGGTAACGGCAGGATGGTCAGGGCTCGACACCATCCTGGATGCACAGAAAACTCAAGGACAGCCTGGGCTACGGGAGATTGTCTTAAAAAAAAAAAAAAGTCACAGGATAAAAAGTGAATCTTTCTTCCTACTTAACACTTCTAATTTCTCTCCCCAGAGGCAGCTACCATCAACAGCTTTCTTGTGTCACCTTCTGGAAATTTCCCATGCAAATAAAGACAAGAAAGCTGTGTGGATTGTAGCCGAATACACTTTCTGCAGCTGGGTGTGTCTGTACAGGCCTTTGATCCCAGGACTGGGAAAACTGAAGCAGGCAGGTCTCGGTGAGGTTGAGGCCACCCACGACCTTGTCCCAACTGCTCCCTTAAAAAACAAGAAAAAAAAAACCCTCCACCAGAGTATCTGGGTGCTCCTGAGCCCTTGCCTGTGTGCCGCTAGACAAGCAAATATTTGTAAAACAGGATAAATAACATCAAGAACACACCTTATAAGGCAGCTGTGATGGTTAAATGCACATTTGAGCACACACACACACACACACACACACACACGGAGTCTTTTGAAGAGACACTGAGGTGCCTTTTGCCAGGTCAAATTAAAGGTCACCTTTATTTACCTTGTCCTTGGAGAAAGGACTGTAATTAACAATCACCATATGGGGGGTTGGAAAGGACCCTGGTTCTGTTCCCAGCACCCACACGGTGGCTGAAAACCATCGGTAATTCCAATTCCACAACGCGCGCCCTCTTCTGGCTGCCACAGGTACTGCATGCATGTGGTACACCTGTGTACACCAGGGTAAAACACTCAAACACACACACAAAACAAAACAAACAAACAAACAAAAAACCCTCTGTGGTTTACATAAAGTCGAGGTGGAGAAAGAGCAATATAGCAAAGACTTCTGCACTTGGGACTTCATATTTATTTGAGGAGTGAATAATCCCCAAAGCCAGTGGCTAGCAAAGATGTCCACTAGGCAACAAAATGCAGCGGTCCATCTGAGGTTCAGAGAATGCACTCCACTTCCATGCAGTGGTTTCCCAGGCCCCTGGCCAAGCAAATAGAAACTTCAATTTGGCTTAAATTGTCTCCATACCCATATTTTTATTTTCTTTAAAACGAGGGGGCTAGAGAAATGGCTTGGCGGTTCAGAGCATTGGTGGCTCTTCAAGAGGACGCGGGTTAAATCCCAGCGTTCACATGGCAGCGGTTCACAACTGTCTGCAATTCCAGTTCTGGGGGATCTGACAGTCACAGAGACACACACGGAGAAGGAACACCAATGTAAACAAAAATTGCTAAAAATTAAAAATCAACAAACAAACAAACAAAAAACCTAGTAAACGGGCTTAAGGATAGACTTCGAGGCACAGGGCAGTGGCTGGTGTAGAAACTGCCAAGCAGGTTCAAGTGTCCTGGACCAGCATCCTGCGTGGCTGCAGCATCTAGACTCTAAAAGAGACTCCCTGGATGCCAGCGCGCCTGAGAAAGCATCAGGGCTGGGGGTGTACCTTGGCAGCAGAGCCCTTGCCTAAGCACCCACAACACATTCCCCAGCACCTCAAAATAAAAGCACCCAAAAGCTGGGCCTAGTAGTTCATGCCTCTCAGCCCAGCCCTCAGGAGGCAGAGATGGGTGGACCTCCTTGGGTTTAAGGGATAACAGGATCTACATAAGCCAGTCAGGGAGACCCTAACTCCTCGGGGAAGGCTACACACCTTTGTAGCTGCCTCTTGCCACCTCCACGCGATTAAATTTATTTAGGAGGAGGCACGTGCACACATGTGGAGGTCAGAGGGCAACTTTCCAGGACTTCCACTATGCTAGTCCCTGAGATCCAACTCAGATCTTCCCTTCCCCACCTTCTCGCCTGACCCCAGATGGATCATTTTTAGCAACTATCCCAACCTCTTCCCAGGGAGTTAGCCAAACTTGTAGTCTGATAACGGTTACCGGAGTTGTTTCAAAGTAAGGTTTTTAGAAGGCGTTGCCGAGGCTACCCTTTCGGTTCTGTGGTTGATCCAAAGGGCCAGCGTAGGAGTGGAGGCTGACAAACTCAAAGAGGAGGGGACCCCAAGCTCCGCTCACCCCGATCCGACCCACCCACGCGCATCTGACCATCTGACCTGGGCTGGGCCGGGTCTTTTCCAGAGCCACGGTAATAATAATAGTAAGCGAAACCACCTCAGCATGCGAGCGGTGGGTGACGAATGGGCGCACAGGTTCGGGCTCAGCGGGGATTAGGCTCCATCCCCGCGTGAGTCATGCCTGCATGCGTCCGCCTCTCTAAGCCTCAGCCCCGTCCTCCGCCTGACGCCGGCCCACGACTCCCGCCCCCGCGCGGCGGGGACCCGGGAGATTGCAAACAGCCGCCGGCCTCATTAGGAGACGTGTAATTAGCGACTGGCGGAACCGAGGGCGGGGGCTAATTACCACCGGGGAGAGGCTGCGCCGCCGCCGGCCCACCGGGAGGCGTCTGGCCCGCACGGCTCGGCTGGCCCGGATCAGGGTGCTTCCTCCGGGTGACAGCCACCACGGGCCGCCGTTTTGTTTACTAGGCACTCACCGAGCCGGCCCGTGCCAAGGCAATCCCACCTACACCTCCATCCTAATAACTCCGAATAATCGGAAACCAGAAGGGGAAGCTGAGCTCTAGAGACGCGGAGTAGTCCCTGAAAACACTGGGCTAGAGTACGAAGACCGGGGATCCGAACCCACGCCTGTGGCTACACGTGGGCAGTGAGCATCAGAGTGGACCCTAGCTGGGACTTCGGAGACGAATGCTTTCGAGGTTAAATTCTGGGCCTGTACCGAATTAGGCACGTGACTCCCTCCAGCCTGGGCCTGGACCGCATCCATAAAATGGGCGCAGGGTTAGGATCCAGAGACTGATGCTATTTTTAGGGAGGCGGGAACGTGGCGAGCTCCGGCACACCGTGGGCCTCTGGCACCATCTACCGGCCTCGGAGGACGCTGGTTGTGGGCAATGTTTGCAGCTTGATTGCAATAGTGATTGCAGCCCGCAGTGAGCTAGGAGACTGAGAACTCATCTCCGATCTTGTAAATAGTCAGCTGTGAAATAAATCTCGCTTTACGTTACCACACCTGCCCAGGCGAGGCCATGACGGCTGTACAAATAACGGAGGTCATAGAGGTGAGAGCATTGGCTGCCAAGTGTGACCCGATAACGGTACTGGAGTTCGATCCCCGGATCCACATAGCAGAAGGAGGAGAGAACCAACTTCCCAAAGTTGTCCTCTGAGCTCCACCTTTCCAGCCGTGGTAAGTACACACTCTCACATTTCTACAACAAATAAATAAATAAATCTAATTTAAAAAAAATTACCCTGCTAGATACAAAGCCAGGCACCAAGAAACCCAGGATAACAAGAAAATCTGTAGACAACGTATATGAGGTCCGGTTGATGCTTTTTTTTTTTCCTTTTTGGTTTTTCGAGACAGGGTTTCTCTGTGCAGCCCTGGCTGTCCTGGAACTCACTCTGTAGACCAGGCTGGCCTGCGAACTCAGAAATCCGCCTGCTTCTGCCTCCCAAGTGCTGGGATTAAAGGCGTGCGCCACCACCGCCCGGCTCGGTTGGTGCATTTAAACAACGCAATTCAGAGCTCAAAGGAATGTCGGTAGCAGCACTGGCGACAGGAAAATACAGGCAAGCAGCAGACTTGCAGGCATGTTGCACGGAGCAGGTATGCTATAAAATATTATGTCCAGGCCAAGGCCTGGCAAATCTCTACAGAAACGGGAATGATGGCTCCTTCTCACTGAAGACTTTGACAAGGGCCTGGGAATTTAGGGGTGCACTGAATCTACCGAGCTTAATAGGGCGCTGGTCACACAAATCCACCTCACTCAGTCGCACCGTTAAGAATAGGCACTTAATGTACAAGATAAATGAAGTGTACCAGGTACAGTAGCACACCCCTGTAGTCACAATCCTCGGGAGGCTGAGGCAGGATTGCTTCGGGCTCCATGCCAGCCTGAGGTAGAGTGAGATCATGTTTTTTTTGTTTTTGTTTGTTTGTTTTTTTTTTTAAATGCCGGGCGGTGGTGGTGCACGCCTTTAATCCCAGCACTTGGGAGGCAGAGGCAGGTGGATTTCTGAGTTCGAGGCCAGCCTGGTCTACAGAGTGAGTTCCAGGACAGCCAGGGCTACACAGAGAAACCCTGTCTCGAAAAACCAAAACCAAACCAAACCAAAACAAAAACATAATCCTCTATTCTTAACAGAAAACGAACTAGGTTGAGAGGGGCGGAATGCGTTAATTCCGGCGCAGGAAAAGGCAGGGGATCAGAAGTTCGGGGTGACCCTTGGCTACACAGTCAGTCAGGGGTTAGCTTGTGAGAAAGAGGGACAAAGAGAGGGAGGGAACTATATCGTTTTGCAAACCACTTGAAAAAACTCACCTCCACAAAACTGGAGAAATCCCCCCCAAAGAACTAGCGTATTTGGCCGTATGAGGAAACCTCTGCTCTGACTTCTTTTAAATCCCAATTCCCGCGACACTCTCGGACTTTAAGTGAAGGGCTGGCCTCAAACCTTCCCTTGGGGACTCTAAGTGCACGCAGAACTTGAGTGCAAAATCCCCAGCGCCTGCCCGAGGCGGACGCATGCGCTCTTACGCTGGCCGCGGGAGGCGGAGCGTGGAGATTGACAGGGCACTCCGCCTGTCGGAGCCTAGTCCCGCCTCCCTCCCGCATCCGGCGCGGAGGCCATGGTGCGGTTCAAGCACAGGTAAGCAGCCCCGTCCCCGCGCCGTCCCCGCGGCTTCTCCGCGTGCCGGGCCGCGCTCACCCCGCCGTCCGCCGCAGGTACCTTCTGTGCGAGCTGGTGTCCGAGGACGCGCGCTGCCGCCTGAGCCTGGACGACCGCGTGCTGAGCGGGCTCGTCCGCGACACGATCGCCCGGGTGCACGGGGCCTTCGGCGCCGCCGCCTGCTCCGTGGGCTTCGCAGGTACGACGACGACGCCGCCGATGGGGTGCGGGGAGGCCCGGCCCGTGTGCCGCGTTTTGTACGATAGTGGAGGGTTTTAGAAAAGCCCGAGTGCGGCGAGTCCAAAACCGAGCAGAAAGTGCCGATCGCGCAATGCGACAAGGCAAAGGGTTCAGTACCTAGCCCCGGGTGTGTGTCGGGGAGATTCCGCTTCCTGCCCGTGTTAGTGGAGGATGCGTGTTGAATTTACTAGGCTAAATGAAGGTAGCCATGTAGAAATCTTCATAAGAGCTACGATTTGACGGGTCACGTTAGCACGTTAGTTAGGTAGTTCTCATTGGAAACGCGGGATGAAAGCCTTGTTTTTCTCCAAATGTCACTTTTTAGCTTAGATCCTTCTACTGCAAGCACACTTGAGTTATCCAGAATCCTACATACATAAAACCACAAAGCTTTCTTGCTGTGTTGTTATGACAAGTGTCGTCCCCCCACCCCCGCAAGGATTTTTTTTTCCTGCAGCGTTCTCTCTCCATTCACTGACCTGAGTGGTCAGCGACTACTTGACAGTGGAAGGTTTCCCCTAACATTTCAAGCTGGGCACTGTGGCCCATGCTTTTATGCTGTCATCCCCAGGGAGCAGAGGCAGTTCCAGGCCAGCCAGGTTGCCAAAACTGGACTGTCTAGAAGCAGACAAAACAGAACTTTCAAGAATGTTAAGTGGAGCTGGACAGAGAGAGGTCTGAGCGGTTAAGAGCACCTGCTGACTTTTCAGAGAGAGACCCAGGATTCCTATCTAAACTCCAGTTCCAGACGATGACACCAGGCACCCGTGTGCAAATACGTACATGCAAGCAAAACATCACAAGATTAAAAAATCTTTCCTGGGGTGCATCCTCCCATGTACCGTTTGCCTATGATAGGGTTTTTCTGTTTTTTAAATACTGTGAATGGGGTTTTCCCAATTTCCCTTTCCTCCTGTAGTTCGATACCTCAATGCCTACACTGGAGTAGTGCTTCTTCGATGCCGAAAGGATTTCTACCAGCTCGTGTGGTCAGCTCTTCCTTTCATCACGTATTTGGAGAACAAAGGACATCGTTATCCATGCTTCTTCAACACGTTACACGTGGGAGGTACGAGTGGTGTGGTTGGCGGCTGTTGTTATGGAGTAACAGGTTCAGAGTAGTTGCCAGGTGGGTGGGTCTTCCTGCTGTCCACTGAGAACAAGATGTTCGTCCCATCACCCGCCCCCAAAAAAAGAGAGTGACTGTTTTGCAAGCTGTTGTCCACAAAAGCTTTCCCGTGCCAGGTACCATCAGAACCTGTCAGAAGTTCCTGATTCGGTACAACAGGAGACAGCTGTTGGTCTTGTTGCAGAATTGCACTGATGAAGGTAAGCCAGGCCAGTGCAAGCCGTGACTAAGGCTCAGCAGGTATGATGATGCCCAAAGCCATCTTCCTTTCCTGTAGGGGAACGGGAAGCCATCAAGAAGTCTGTCTCAAGAAGCTGTCTGCTGGACAGAGAGTCGGTTGAAGAGCTTTCAGACAGTGCTGAGGAGGAGAATATGGAAGCAATGGAGTGACTGTTTCCAGGCCCACGAGTGGAAGGGGACATCGCAGGAGGTGACAGCAGCACCCCACAGTTCTCCAGTGGAGTGACTGACAACCAGAGCACAGGTGACCAGCTTGAAGTGGAGGGCTGGCTGCCTTACCTTCCATCCATGGGGAAGGCCCTGTGCAGACCTTCTATATGTAACTGCTTAGCTCATGGGTGGAATAAACATTCTTGGCTTCCAAGGCAACATTCCTGAACCATAAAAAGCGCTCAAACATTGACAGTTGGCCAGGTCTCTGTCCTCTACAGCACCTGCCTTGAATGAGCTCCCTGTGTGGTACTAATGATTTTTAAATATTCCTAGACCCTTAGGTGTAAGAACTCATTCAAATCTTGGCTTGGTGGCACACCTCTTTAATCCCAACACCAGGGAGGCAGTCTGCTCTAACAGAGTTCCAGAACAGCCAGGATTCCACAGAGAAACTGTTGGGGGTGAGGTGGGCTCAAGTAAAGCAGAAACATTGGTGAATAATCACCAGCTACACTTAGGGTGAGTTCAGTACTGTCCAAGGGCTGAGAATAGCAGGGTCCCCAATGTACCATGGCTCGGGTCATGTTCAGCTGGTCCCAGTGAGGCATGAATGTAGTCTAGTCTTTGGTCCCCAGTTGGAAGGATTGGGAGGTACAGCCTTGTTGAAGGAGACATGTTATTTTGTGTTTGTTGGTGGGAGGCTTTGCCATTTCAAAAGCCAATACCATTCCCGTTCGCCCTCTCTGCCTCCTGCTTGTGGATGTGTGTAACCTGCCAGCGGCGTCTCTAGCTCCAGGCCTGCCTGTCTACTGTCAAGCTGTACATGATGGCTGAAGATTCACTCTTTATGTCTCCTTGAAACCACTGGCACTTACACAAGCTGGACTCAGGAGAGATGGCTCAGAGACTGAGCACTGGCTGAGGATGTGGGTTCAGCTTCCAGCTCCCACATGGAGGCTCCCAAGCAAATGTAGAGCAACTCCAGTTGCAGGATACACAGACAGACAGACAACCATAGACCTTTCGGAAGCCTTTAAAAAACCTGTGAGGGGCCAGACCTCTCTTGGTAAGAAGAACAACCAGCAGGCACAACCTCCCCGTCACGTATGAGTGCCTGGCTTAGCACAGGCACTTACTAGGAGAAACACCCTGCAGCAAAGCAGTGCTGTACCACTGGTTTGGGCTGCTTCAAAGAACGCAGAAGGGACTACTCAAGCTCACTCTGGGTTGAAAAAGTTAACATCAGAATCAAAAGGGCTAACCTACAAATGAACTAAGATTGTCAGGAAGGCGTCTCATGTGAGTGTCAATACTTTATTTTGGTGTAAAGAGGGGAAGCTGGAAAATACACTGTATTTAAAATTTTCTTGGTTCCCCCTCACTTTGTGGAAAGCCCCTCCCCCCGCCCCAAGCTAATCAATCTGTTCAAACTCAAATACTTAAAAATTACAGCAGCAAAACAAAAGCACAGAGAAGAAACCCGATGGAGAAGGCGCCTGGGCACGCAGTGTCACTTGGTGTGGACGACCGAGGTGCTGAACAGCAGCTTCTGCTTCTGTCTCCTCCTCTTCTTCCCGCCTCTGTCTTCTGAGGGGAAACAGCAAGAGTGCGCTTAGCTTACCCTATTAACCATGACCCTGACGAGAGTGGGCACTGAGGGGTGAACAGGCTACAGAGATGGCCCAGTGGTTGAGAGCACTTGTTCCTACAGGTTTGATTCCCAGCACCCACGGGGTAGCTGCCATCTGTAACTCCCTTGAGGAGATCCCTTTTGTGCTCCGAAAGCATCAAACATACGCAGGTACACCTCACATACACACACGCAGGCAAAACACTCATAAGCAGAATAAAAGAGTTCCTCAGAATTCCACTTCTGGACCTTAAGAATTAACCTGGGGTGGAAAGTAAGTCCTATCAGACAGTTAGGACCTGTCACAACCCAAGCAGGAACAGCAGCACCCTTGGCTAAGCCTAAGCTCTGAGCTGACAGAGTTCCCTGCCCTTACCAGAGAGGGGGTCTGAAGTAGCTGGTGTGTCCAATTTCATGAAGGCTGCTTCGATAGCTTGGCTGAAGGAATTTTGGAAACTGGGCACAGGAACACGGTCAGAATTATCACTCTCCCCATCACTGTCCGCAGGGGCAGGAGGAACCAGGCTATTGTCATCTAGAAAACGGGAGTGTAGGGATTGTAGGGCTTTCATTGACAAGCGTGTCCAGACCTGCCCTCTGCTGCCCGCGCTCACCTTTCTTTGGAGCAGTTCTGGACCACCCGTCTGCTTTTGCTTTGCCAACCCTCAGCATCTGCCAAGTGGGTCAGAAGGAAGAATGTCAAAGTCTGACCAAATGTCACTCATAGCCCTTCACAGGACTGTCAGCCTCTGTACAGTCTGTCATGTCTGCACCCTGACTGATGGCAGCAGTGCACCGAGGATATCACACTTTGGGAAGCTGTGAGGACACTGAAGACACTGGGAGATGCTCAGCCAGGAGTGAGTTAGAACACCTGCTCTGATGGCCCTCCCTGCCCTTCTTGAGGCACCTAAGTACATCAACCAATAACCACAGAATTCGGGAGGCTGAGGCAGGAGGATTGCCTACAATTCAAAACCAGTCAGGACAATATGAGTTTTAGGATAATATGGGGCATAGAGATCTTATCTCAAAAAATAAAAATAAAATGTAGAATAAGCATATATAGTGCCTTCCAGGGTTTTGTTGTTTTTGTCTGACTGATTTGCACAGCTCTGGCTGTCCAGGAACTCACTCTGTAGAGCAGACTGGCCTCAAACTCACAGAAATCTGCCTGGTTCTGCCTCCTGAGTGTTGGGATTAAAGGTGTATTTGCTACCACAGGCAACATACCTTCCAGTTTAAAAAGCTATGCTTATACCGAGCCTCCTGCTCTGAAAATCCCTACTGTGCTTTTTGCACTCCCCCCACCCCCACCCCAGGTATTGCCTTTGAGGTGCAGCCATAAGCCATGGTCCAGTTGTTGTCTGTACATATGGTAAATCAGAATAATCCCTCCACCTTTGAAGAACTGCCTTCATTTCACATGGTCAAAGTGAGCTCTGTTTTAAGTTTCATCTGCTAAATAAGCCACACAACTCCTATCAGAATTTGTTCTCCTGTTTTTGTGGCCTGGGTAGGCGTGGGCTACTACACTAAAGAAAGTACCTATGACCTTCCGACCCAGCACGGAAGTAAGCCTGCCTGACCCTGATGCCTGTGTCCCAAAGTGGGACACATTATTCAAGATGGACTGTGCTGTGCTAAAAGGGCAGCCTATTCTGGCTGAGGGGCTAGAAGTTCTGATTGTGGGACAGGGTCTTCTGTCTCCTGGCTAGGCTTCGATCCCTCACCATATCGGGAGGTCAGGCCTGCGCTTAGATCACCTTTCTCATCCTTCACTCTGCTGTCTTCCTAGAGTTCATTATTTTAAAATCTGAGTAGTATGACATGGTGCTGGGATCAAATTCATCACCAATATTTATGCTCCAAGAAATATTTTAGGTGTATAATCTGAAGCTAGTCATGAGGAGACTCCAAGGTCCTAGAGCCAGTTGAACTGAACTGATCCAGCCCTCTCCCAGACCACTGTCCCGTTTATAACAATTTAATAATCTTAAGTAATTAAAGCTTGAATTCTCAACTACTTCCATGAGCTCTGCTCTTGAGACGCTGTCTCAGCAACGTGCGTGCATATGCAGGCTAGCGCAGCTGGCCCTGGCTGCCCTCTCCAGCAGGTCCCCAGCTCTCACCCAGAGGCCGCCTCTCCCTGTCCTGCACTAGGCTGAGGCACCAATCCATGGAAGAGGGTCCCAGACAAGCAGCAGAGCTCATATGAGCTGCTTCTCAAGAGGAAGATTTACCTGGGCAAAGGAAAGGAAAGGAGAGTCTTCCTCCAGACTCCCGACGCAGAAGGAGGGGCTGCCCTGACTGCCCTGACTGGCAGTGGGTGACAGAGGGGTCAGCAGGAAGTCTGGAAGGAAACCAGAGACCTGGTTACATAAGTCAGGTTCTTTTAATGAGAAACAATCACGAGAGCCAGGCATGCTGGCACCTGCCTGTGACCATTCTGGTATGGTGAGTTCCAGACCAGGCTGGCTTTCTTTTCTTTTCTCTCCCCTTCCCCCCCCCCTCATGGGGGGGGGGGGGGTCCAAGACAGGTGTGGCCCTGGCTGTCCTGGAACTCAGAAATCCGCCTGCCTCTGCCTCCCAAGTGCTGGGATTAAAGGCATGCGCCACCACCGCCTGGCCAGCCTGGCTTTCTGAATGAGCCTTTTTCTCAGAGACAGAAGAAGAGATGGGGGAGGTGAACAGAAGGAACCAGGTCTGGATGACTGCTATAACTTCCCCGGAAAAGAAAAAGCAAACCTAGGTTCACATGTGACTCTTGCCATGTTCTTATACAAGGGCATCAGGCATTGCCGACAAAGGGGATACAGACAGGAGGCTTCTCAAAGCTCCTTTAACGCTGGGATGCAACACAGGAAGACAGCCCTTTCCTTAGGAAATGCTACACCTCCCACAAAGACTGGCTCTCAAGGTAGGATGGCTCACGACTGTAATCCTAGTACTTGGGAGGCTGAGGCAGGTGCACCAGTGAGTTCACAGCCAGTCCGACTGATACAGCAAAACTGTCTAAAAAAATAAGAACAAAGAGGCTAGCCAGCTCTCAAAGATGATGTTTGCTATGGACTGATTTTATGTGGATGGACAACTTCAAAAGAAACATCCAGATGACTGTTATGGCCACTATGCCCTGGCAGTCAGGACTGAAGACACACACCAAGTTAGTCTTCTTCTAGAGAGTCCTGCCTGGGTAGAAGCATCAGTCTGCTCTGCAGGCACCGCTAAGCTAAGCCTTGGGTGCTGGGCAGCGGCGCCTCGTCTCTCTCCTAGTCTCAGGCCCTTCCACGTCCATCCAACCTACCTGACACTTTCACTCTGGGAACTAAACTACTCTTAGAAATTCACATTTGCCAAACAACAAAACTAAACCTAGCTGATGAAGACTCTCTGCCCCACAGTGTGCCCAGTGATCAGCAGCGTTCTCTCATGCAGGGAAAAGCATCATGGTTACACACAGTCTATAAGAACCAAGTTCTAGCCCCAGTTCCTGCCACTAAAGTTACTGTATGTTATCAGTCTCAGGACCTGTGCTGGCTAGTTTTTTAATGTCAACTTTACACAAACTAAGGTCATCTATGAAGAAGGAATCGTAATTCCATTGAGAGAAGGCCTTCTTCATAGGATTGGCCTGCCTGTAGGCAGTCTGCAGGGCTATTCTTCACTGATGACTCATGTCAAAGGCCCAGCATACTTTAGCAGATGGTCCATGCCCAACCTATAAACAGTTCTAACTAAGCTATTTCCCTGCTGTGTACTCAGCAAGTCTGACTTCTTCCCTTACAAATCACAATCAATTATCACACAAGGACATTATAAACATTAAACATTAAGAAAAGAGAAAACAGAACAGATGGGTGAGAGAAACACAATCCAGGTTTTACGAAACTGCAAGGTCTAAGAAGTCAGAACAACCAATGGGAAAGGGTAACCAAACATAAGGATTTAATGCGGCCTAGGACTAAAAGTTCTTCCTTTAGATACTACAATGTGCGAGGTTGCTCAATGTTGTGAATTCAGACACTGAGTTTGCTTAAGGTCAAGGCCCGTGGTTAAGAGCGCTTATGCCTTTTGCAGACTGACTTTGGTTTGGTTCCCAGCATCCATTAACGCCAATCCCAGGAGTTCGGACACCCTCTTCTGCACCAGGCATGTATGTGGTATACATATATACACACAGGCAAAAAAACTCTTCCACATAAAATTAAATCCAATGAAAGGTCTAGCGAGTAGCAGAATTCATCACATCAGAAGTCACCTGCATGGGAGCCTGGACTTCTGCTCAGAGGAGACAGGGATAGGGCCCCATGGCCCTCAGTGCTGGTGGGACCCAACGCAGAATCAGAGGAACAGGCGTAGGAATTGAAGGCAGGAAACTGCTGAAGGTTCTCGAGAGGAATGTGGACCTCGGGATCTGCAAAGCAAAGGCAACGACAGGTCCATTTACACAGCTGTTCCTATTTTCTCTAAGAGGAGTCTGGAGGGCCTGGAAGACACATGCCTACCCGTCTGTCTCTGCTCTCCTATAGTCATCCAGCTAGCAGGAGGCTCAAACAGGAACAACAGCCTAAGCTATGTTAGCCAGAATCCTCCCCTCCAAAAGACTGGATGTTGTCCAAACCTATATAACTTCACTGCCAGGGAGGCAGACAGCTCAAGGTCAGCCAGGCCTAACAGTGAGCTATCGTCTCACAAACTTGAGACATCTGTTTTCTCAAAGTTAGGGTGTGTGTCAGCCACCAAGTTCTAGAGGCCGAAGCACATCCTCACTGCACCTTCCCCAGTGCAAGCTGTGTCTACATTCTACATGAGAGCAGAGAGCCAGGGCCTTCCCCGCCAGTAACTGACTCTCTCCTTCTGACTCTCTCCCCATGTGGGTCTCCACGGGCAGTCCATGGTGGTGGGCATGAGCTTGCTGTGAGTCCGGCATGGCCTTGAACTCAAGGCCACTGAAGTTCAAGGCCATTGATTATAAGTTTTCAGTCCCGGTCGCCAGCCCCAGCTCTAGTCCTAGTTTTCCAGTGGATACCCGGGCTTTGAGTCATACCAATCCCCTGGATTTAGCGACTGATTCTGTAGTCAAATTAGAAACTGCTCCCAGCTCAGCAGAGCTCTCTCGGCCCCTCTCTCTCTCACGCCTGACTCCTGTATGTGCCCCCACACTCTGCACACTGCGAGCAGGCCAGGTCTAATACAGTCAGCAGTTAGAGAATTCCCCACCATGGAACATTCCATTATCACCTTTGCTTCCTGACTCCAAGGAAGAATGAAGGAAAATAACTGGCAGGCATAGGCAAGGGGCCACATAGACTCACACAAGGCAAAGCAAGCACACATGAGCTCTGGACTTACACCTGCCCTGTCTCTTGTTCTCCTCCATTTCAATTCTGCGCTCTCGGCGACGCTCCTCGCGAGCCTTCTTTTGGCGCTGACGCTTCCTTTTCTCAATGTCATCTGTGGGTTGGTCACGTTGTAAGAAAGACAGATCTGCTGCCAATAAAGCTTCCTAGATGACTATAGCTAAGCCAGCGGGACAGCGGACCAGATGGATGCATCAAGTGTCTCAGGACACAGCTCAAGCCCCGCCTCCCACACTGGGTTCTGAGTAGAGAAGGCAAGTGGGGCTTTCTCACCTGAGAACATCTCTAGGGTTTCCTTAGAGACCACAGGAGGCTGCAGAGCCAGTTCACAGATGCTGAACTCACAGGTGAGTGGCAAGTGAGAAAGATATCTATGACGCTGTCGAACATCCTACAAACAGAACCAATGCTCACTACTCCTGAGAGCACAGGACCCCAGCACTCAGCTTACACACTCGGCACACACACTCAGCACTGGGACAGCGCTGCTGCTGCTGCTCTATGGAAAGCCAGACTCTATGCACGGCCTACATACACTAAGACATCCACCAAACTCAGGGTTCACAGACTAAGCCACAAGGGAGTAGCCAGCCTAGTGATGCAGTGACGTGAAGCTGACCACTACCTCCACCCGTCCAGACCCACACTCGGAGCAAGAACAGGGAGAGAACACTTGCTGACACCAAACAACAACCAGCCTA